CCTTTGGAGTACTTTGCGCCCTTCTATCGTTTCACTTATTTTACTTATGCGATTCCGGAGTTAACAAAGCAGTGGAGTCGACTATGTGTGGTTTTGTAGTTTATATTAGTATAGTTGCGTTGTTTGCGCTCCGTTTTGGCAATATTTTAGCCAGGTATTTTCCCGACTATATGTTAAGAACCATTCATGGAGTTAAAAACCTTCTTATAACTGAAGTAACGTGTAAGCAATACTGCTTTAAGTTTTGCTGTCTCTTTCTTCGCCTACCATAGAACTATATGCGTTTGTTGTATTTAGATTAATTTACGCCGCTTTTAGTGCAATGATGGTTGAATCCTGTTTTTTGTTGTCTTGCCTATTACTATATTTATAAAGTGCTATAAGTGTTCGCCGAGGAAGAATAAATACTTAAATAAAATAAAATATTCTTTTAAACTTAACGCAAAGTATTTAACATTTACATGAACAATAATTGAACATATTTAAGTTAAATTGCAATAATTAACCACGTCACACAGGCATGAAATCAAACTTACTCACTTCTAAAACTAACTAAATTTGTAAATACGTAACTTCCAGAACTATGAATTTGTAATAAACACTTGTTTTTTTTTTTTTTGATCGGTTGACGGATCTGACGGATATGACGGATCCCACACTAGGAGATAAATCCTGGTAAAACAAACATTAAAATCTCGAACGAAAAGTACAACCAAACTTGGAGCAACAATTATTATGGTGTATAAAACTATACAAAATTTTGTCCCGCCTGTTGATGACTTCCTAAACTAAAACTTTAACCTTTGATAGGGCCACGCAGCAGCCTTTGCTGTTGGACAAATGGGCAGGCTGTCCAGTGACTATCGACGTGAAGTGGAAGCATAATACTTTCGCCCTTTGTCACTCACTCAGTGAGGTAACCAGGGCCCACTTTGCTAAAGGTTGGAAACGCATCGGCTCAGGTATTGTAGATACCCATGGGTGGCGATAATCACTCAGCATTAGGTGAACCGCCTGATGTACAACTTTGGTGGTAGCATTTTGCCAATCAATAAGTAAGTGTAATGCTTCTATCTATACAGATAAATAAAATTGAAGTTCCTTTATGTAATACTAAAATATCCGCTTTTTAATAAATGCATATGGATATACCAAAATATTTTTTTTACAATTTTTGTCTGTCTGTCTGTTTTTTTTTTTTATAGGAAAAAAGCGGCACCTGATAGTGAGTGATCACCGCCGCCCATGGACATCTGTCTGTTTGGTCCGGCTAGTCTCAGAAAGGGCTGGACCAATTTTGTTGGGGCTTTCACTAGCAGGTAACTAATGTTATTACATTAGTTACCTGCTAGTGAAAGCTCCGTTAAAATAAATAAAATTTCTGAAATGAAAGTAGCTGAAGTTACTCCTTGTTAGGGGTAACTTTTACCTCTTATTATAACGATATTTGAATTTGAATTTGACGTATAAAAGTAACGCTCCATCCACGCACTGGAGTAAATTGTTCAATATTTAGAAAAAAAGACGTTTTATCACACATAAATTTTATTCTGATAATTTATTATGTTAATGTACATTCGTTATCTTAGCCTAGTCATAAGAATCGGTATGCACGTAACTTCCTTTCGTAATGAGGATAGGCGTTAAGCTCAACCTTTCTATCTACAACATCATTGATCCTACTTTGCTTAACGTGAATTAAGTATAATAAGAAAATAAGAAAACGCCTTGCAAGGCGTGCAAAAGTACACTATTCCCATTCCTGAAGATTTAATGCTACTCTTTTGGACAATTAACTTCAACCAATTGTTGACAATTGGTTGGAGTCAATTACAAAAATTCATTGACCTGCTTTTGTCATTTTGTTTATTTAATGAATATAATTAAATGATAATAAATGCCTCCGGTAGTCTATAAAATAATTAAATTTAATATTAGTATAAATAACAATCGACGATATACGTTACACTACTTTCATTAACTTGATGCGTTAAAACAATTTTTAACAATTTTCTGCATATCATTTTTTGTTCTTTTTTAAATTAATGCATAACTAAATAAGTATATGAAAGACGAATGTAACAATGTTTACACCAATTATTACAACTGACAGACAAATGTATCATTGGATTTTTAATATTTATCAAATACACTGGATTGCTATCGTATGACATAGTTATTTTTATATTAAAATAAGTAGTACACACTCATAATTAAATACATGAAAGTGAATTAACTCAAATTTCTGTTTTTCCCATACATATTATAAACATAGACGCCTTTAAACTAAACAACACGCAAATTGTAAGTCTCAAATAAAACTCAGATGGTCAATTTCAATTTTTAACCGACTTCGAAAAAGGAGAATCGTTTCGGTTGTATTTTTTTTATATTTGTTACCTCAGAACTCGGTCATTTATGAACCGATTTGAAAGATTCGTTTTGCATTAGGTTCGATTAGGTTACCTTGCGGTTTCATGTTAATTTCCATGGTATTGAAGTTTGGACCTTTGTCTCCGGAAATACAGCAGGGAATTCCTCAAAATGAATATAAAATGTATAGTAAGTGAGATATTTGAAGTCGGTTTGGTTTTCTTTTTTGTTAATAAAAATGTTGTTTAAAATTAAGAGGAAAAAGTAAGTAATAATTCTAGAATCTGCGAAGTTTATGATTTGATTGGGGTTACAAATGGTCTTATTTATAAATCTCGAAACGGCCACATAAGTCCACATATTGCCTCGTAAAAAATATTATCGTTCACAATTAAACGAGAATTTCGGAAGATTCGCGTTTTATTATTGTATTCAATTTGTATGAAGCTTTGGCTTTTAATCTCGCCTTACAGGGATCAACTTTGTGGCTTCTTTTAAGGTTTTTCCAGAAAAACTTCCACGACTGTTGGGTCGAACCATTCCCGACGCGTATCTTTGATGTGTCGGATATCGTTTACTTGTTAAGCAGTATAGCCTTAGGCGCTGTGGGTTGTTCGTTTCATTTATTTAATCTTTATTGCACAGAAAATTGTACAAAGGCGAGCTTAATGCTATATTGCATTCTCTACCAGCTAACCCTTGGTTGAACAGAAACAAAATGTCAAGGACAGTATAGTAAACGATACAAAATTAAATAAATAATATGTAATAATTAGGTAATAAATCTAAAAACTACCAACATAAACATACATAAGTAGATTTATTAGATTCCCCTGGGAATAGCATTTGTTTGACTGACAAATAATTCCTCACGTCTGTACACAAATTAAACAAGTGCCTCGTCAAATTTGTGTTTGTACAACGTCACTACAACATTGATTTATCTTACAGGCAGTGGTGTAAAGACAGAAGGAAAGAGTAAATATCTGCAAACGTTCGATTCGTCGCAATTTAAAGTTCAAACTATAGGCGATAAGAAGATAATAAATTAAACTGAAGTACGCCTCACACGAGGCAAGTTTACTTCGCTGCAATCTCTCCTAGATACCAAATTTATTAGCTGTATTAAATATTTATTTATTTTTATAGGCTTTACTGCTAACCTTAAGAAAAAAAGCTAACAAAGGGTGGACTTAATGCCCAAAGGCATTCTCTACCAGTCAGCCCAGGATGTAGTGAAAGTTTATGGTACGGATACAGCACGGGATGTAAAAATTACAAAATATTAATATAAAAGAAAATAAATTATCATTATATGTTTAAGAATTAAAAATGTACCTACCTATGATTTTTATACATTAAAAATATTTGCGACAGTATCTTTTACCGTTGGCATCGCATGGTGCAAGCTTCAAATATAAGTTTGTCTTCAGAGAAATAATTATATTATGTGGTCTTTATTTAAAATCCATGGGTCATTTTTAGCGATAGTAAACTTAATAAAATATTTAGTAAAATCAATTATACAAACTTTTAAGACGTTTTGAGCACCGCAGACTGTTCTGTACCGTTTTATTTCATTTATTTACGAACCTCATTAATAGCACTGGCATATTCGATCGAATTTTCTATTTTTTTTCTCTCTTTTTATGGAAAAATATTGTAATATGTTTTATAAATATTGGCTATAATTCATGTGTACAAAAAATGTTATACCCCTGCCCTTTGATACTAAATCCGATGCCCGAGCTACGCTACCGAGCAAACTCATCACAACAGAAGTGTATAAATAGAATGAAAAAAATAAATAAAGGCTAGATCACAATTGTGGCGGAAATTTAATCCAATTAAATAATTACATAGGCGAAGTCGTATCATCTGTCGAATTAGGTGGTTATGTGGTTTTTCCGCGAATTGAATTAAACTCGCACGGCATCAGTCGTCTGCAGCCTTACCGACTAATGACGCTCACGTATTGTAATTAATTATTGAACGGCAAGCCCGCACGCCACTATCAACCTTTTCACGAACGAAACAAAGCTCACAATTCCGCGAACGATTCTGATTAATATAATCTACCCTCACCACTCAACGCCGGCCCGTATAGTTGATTTATTTACCCCCTTCGTTTCTATAAACAACACGCGCACTAAACAAAATTAATTAATACTCTTCACACCAATGATACTGCAATATTATTATGTAAAACATTCAAATAATGAAGAAATGTCCCGTATGGAGTCTGTACTTTAGATGCGTGTAACATACCGAATTTTAAATTCTGCTGGTTCTTATCATGGAATAAATAAGAAAAAAATAATTAAATATCAGTGTTCTACTAATGAATTTAGTCCTAAAGTCCTATTTTTTATTCAATTGAAATAAAACACATGATTATAAAGTCGTACAAATAAACTGAACCCGTACTGACTTCTCTTGATTTTTTTCTCATCTTTTAATCCCGCTATAAGCTTATTACGACATTCAGAGCTCATTCGAGAGCAGTGTACTAAGGGTATAATCTAAACGACAGCGATAATACGCATTAACACTACATACATTGCCATCGAAATTGGTGCGAATACACATTTTTTTCACTCTTTTCTTTACTATTGCAAAGCATATTATAGTTTGGTGTCGCGCAGTAATACAGCAGCCTCGTATGACGGCAGCCCGCCGTCGTTAGGACCCCCTTGACAACGAACGCAGGGCTCCGTAATCATCTCCTGGAAGAGATCAAAAAGGACTGCATTAGTATTTAATACCTAGTTGCTCCGTGAGAAATTTTTCGCAGTGTCATGGTCAGTTCCCGAGAGACAAAAACACTCTACTTAGCTAGCATTTTAAGGAATTGTCAAAAATGGTTTGATACATTCCTAAGAAGAAATTTTTAGTAAAGTTTTCTTTCCATGAAAATCTTGAATTACTTGCCTATTTGGTGAAGAGTTATAGAGGTTATGGCGTTCCGACTACAAAACACGTAAAGTTAACAATTAGATTTTTTTTATTTTAGTGCCAGTGTCTGCACTTGCGTGAAACTTAGCTACTTACTATGTAGATAATGTAGCAAAATCATTATAATGCACAAATATATCCTTCAATACAGTGATCGAATTGCACCTGTTGATTGTGTAGGTATACTGGCTGAAGGATTTTCGCTGTGTCGTATGTTTCATCGATGGGCCGACGCGTTTGGAGAAACGCCATAGGCGTATGAAAACAAGTAGAAACGCTTTATGCTCTTGTGTTTCACCATGTGGAGTGTACGATAATGTTTTTCTAAGTGTATCCATTTTTTTTAATTAAATTCTAGACATAAATAATGTTATATAAAAATGATAAATATTAAAAATCACTCGTAATTAATTAATTACATCCATTTGAACTTATCTCAAAATGTGCGTGATTTATGGGCAACTCATTTATTTTATGCGCGATCATTCGTAACTAACGCACACAGGTTCGTTTCAAAAGTATAAGACTCATTTATGAATGACTACCGCATTGTCAACAAGTTTTGTTTTTTAGGGAATAGGATGGCAATTTTTTTGAAAAAAAAAAAGCTTGTTTTTATTTACCTGGAGTGCACGATAATCGGGACAAGCCCTCGTAAAAGTAGGCAAAGCAAAAGCGTTTGTGAATGACGAATCAGAAAAATTTTTCATAATGAGTCTAGACGACCAGACTATAATCACAATGGTTAGGCCAAGTAACAATGGCAAGCTAGTCCGGAAGTAACACGAACTCACAGCTCTCCCAACTCTTCACATAAAAATGATGAGATTTACCTGCAGTGTGTGACAGGGCTTTGGTTCCGAAGCGCCTTCGACAACGGACTCATAAGCAGGCGGTGGGCCTGGCAGTTCTTCCAGTACCTGCAGAAGTAACGGTTAACTTTATCATTCCAAAACTAAACGAGAAATTAAGATTAAACGACGTTAAACACTCTCGTTAGATACTATAAAGTATGTATTGTGTAAATATAGAATATAAAAATAATCTCAATTCGCAATATGTCGTAGCGTCGCGTATGATTCAATTTTCTTTTTAAATAGTCCATATCACGAATTTAAAATTTCGATTGAGCGTAACATTAAATGAAACCTGCAGCCTGTAAACTAAACCTTAAATTAAGACTCAATAACTAAACGCTCGTTTGACAATGTAAAAGTATTAGCGTAGTCATAATATCTTGTTCTTATATATAAAAACTAGCTGCTGCCCGCGTCTGCGTAGAGGTGTGAAAATTTAGGGTTGTATGTATTTTTGTATGCTGTGTCATAAAAAAATAGAAACAAAAAGTTTTATATAAAAATCGGTCGAGCCGTTTCGGAGGAGTTCAAGTTCGAACCCCGTGACACGAGAATCTTATATATAAAAATGGATTGCTGTTCGTTAGTCTGGCTAAAACTCGAGAACGGCTGGACCGATTTGGCGAATTTTGGTTTTGAAATATTTGTGGCAGTCCAGGGAAGGTTTAAACGATGAGAAATTATCGAAATAGCAACAATTTTATTTTCCCATACAAAACTGTACCTGTCAACCTGTCAACTATGTGTAACCTGTCAAACACTACGCGTACATTCCGACTCCTCTAGAAATATTTTATATGGCAAAACAACGTTTGAGTCAGCTAGTATACAATAATTATTGAGTTCAACTTTTATTGTGTTCACGAAAACGTGTTTATGTAATTACGTACACACGTAAGATGTTATGATATTTCTGAGGCGGAACAATAGAAAAATAACTAAAAATTTTATTCCGTGTGCCAATACTCTGTGCAAAAAAGAAAATAAATGCGTGATAATGGTTTAATCAATGATATGACAAAAGTGCATCAAAATTGAGGGGCTCAAATTACACCAATTGGTGTAATCCCTATGTTATATTGGTAGGTATATGTTAAATATAGTCTTCGAATGGCTATATTTTCACTGAATAACTTTGCTCATAATATCCAAGACGTCCATTTTTCATTGAATTACGATTGACGTTCATTGAAACGGTAAAGATACGATAAAAGAATCTCTACTCATAAAAGCATTTTAACAATTCAGTACCATAAAATTGATTTTAAATCAATCGCGTTACAACCTTTTATTAATCATTTGATCTATTTTTTTTTTATTTTGTCATAATGTCAAAATATCCTAACGGGTGGAGTTTGGAGTGATTCCATCAATCGACGTAGCCTGTTTTTTTAAAATGTTCGTTTAGCCCGGCTATGCTTGATTTCTATTGGCTATTGGCTAGCGGAGCTTACTCAATTTGTATTATATAAGTTCACATATAAAGAATCATGCAATATATCCAATGTTTACCATTCTTTTCTTTCATTTCAGATGTACGGAACTACTAAAAGATTTTAAAGAGACGCCTAATCCAGCCAATCTTACTTGTGATGGTAAGTTTAAGCCCGAATTTAACAAAGGGAAACTAACTGCATTCTACTGATTGCTTATAACGAAACAATTGCTCAAGTTGAAGCAGTTCATAGACAGACTTCTTATACTTAGTTATTAGAGATCTTCTGACAATATGCTTTCTTGTGTAAGAGATCCTTGACGTTGCGAAGTAATTTCTACCTAACTGTTTATTTTAATTTAGTAGCAAAAAGTTGACTTTTGACTACTAAATTGAATGGCTCCTAAGTGAACTTCATTTCATTCAATTTCATTAATGTCAAGTATCTTTTCAATAACTTATAATTTACTAACTTTGTTTTATTTATCTAAAGTTTGCATACCGTACCCGAAAGTGGAAGTAAACTCTAAACCACAATAAATACTTGTCATTTAGCAATCAATGGCCTAACCATTTTAAGTTATCGTAAAAAAAATTCAAGAATTGGGTGGCAATACTATTTTACCTCCCGATTCTCGTCGGATCTCGAAAAACTTATTACTAAATTTGTATTGTAAAAATATTTGTATTTTAAAATATAAAATATATTTTTGTTGAATGTAAAATATGTTTATGGTCACATTAATTTATATTGATATAGCTAACATTATATATTGATGGCACTTTAATTTAACAATGCGTACTGCACGCAAGCAAAATAACAGGTTGATTATCATGATATTTTTTTTTTTTCATTTTTTTGTATTTGTAAAAACATTGCCATTACTTTTAATAGGATAATATTATCCTTTGTTGTAATGATGTTTTCAAACATTTTCACGAGGACAAACACCCAGATACGAAACATTATGTTACATGTAACCTCAAACCCACACGCTGTTTTGGTATATGTATAGCGCAAGTCACAGTTCTGTGTAATGTTTTATTTTAATGGGTTTTTATGGCAGCGATAAAGATCAGATACTGTAATTACGTCCGTGACTACACTAGTACTTTGGATATTTATTAAACCGCTCTTCTGTTTGATATACGTCCGGTAAGTAAGTCACGTCCGCTCGAAATATTGTGGTATTATACATACATTTTTGTCGTGTGTTTCCTCCAAAGAATGTTTAAGAGGCGTCTTACAATTTTTAAATTTTTACAAACAGATAAACTGATCAATAGATTAACCTTTGAATAAGCATGCATATTTTATAAACTGAATAAAATTCGTAGCGTTGGTCGTGCCCCAGTAGGCGTTTGAAGATAATAGGGTCTGAGTTTCGCAAAATTGTTCAGTGGTAAGTTCAGAATTAAGTAAAGGTTTAAGGTGAAGTGTCTGAATATGAAGTGACAGTTTATCAAGCCTTCAATTAGGATAAGTGATTTAATATCAAGGAGAAGAGTGATCGATCGGGCAACACCTGATACTGTGAGCTCTTACTAAGGAGCCCCGGCCGCAATTTATCAATTTAATACCGCAAAAAGTATTTAGGTACCTACTTCGGCCCCATTGTCCGCCTCACGAAACATAAACAATGGCACACATTAAGCTCCGAAGGACAGCGAAACAACGAACCGTAATGGATAAAGACTCGAAATACGATAGCGGTATTGGACAATGAGCTGTTATTGTCTCGTGGAAACTGTCAATTTGTTTTCGAGATGTCGAGGGAATGATAAAGGCCGCCGTAATGACATTTACTCTGATGGTTATCGAAAGGAGGCGCCTCCGAAGAATTGATTGTTTAAAAATTCGTTGCTCGGAATTAAAGGTTAAAAAGTAAACCCTCGGGTGTAGCAGATGTCTATGGGCGGCGGTATTTACTTAACATCAGGTGAACCGTCTGCTCGTTTGGCAACTATTCACATAAAAAAAGAACAAAAAATGAAAAAAATATCGCACTGCTGGGCAAAGGCCTCCTCTGTACAGAGGGTATCAGGGCATAGTCGACCACGTGGCTCCGCTACGGAATGGTGGACTCCACATATTTTCGAAAATATTTTTTTTTTGTTTTCCCCTATGAGCACGTGATCATACAGCACTTAAAATTAACAATTTAATTGGTGCCGGCATCGGGGATCGAATTCAGGTTGTTCGAGTATATGGAATTAAAGGCGAGCGCCCGCCCGGACACTGAGCTATCACGCCTCTGTTGTTCGGAATACTCGGCGATATTTCGGGGAGAGAAACTTCGACGAACTATTTTCAATATAAAAGTTTGCAATCTATATTAAGGTCACCTAGAGAAAGCAGACTGCATCGGAGTCGTCTTATTATAACCATCCAAGAAATGGCAAATTATCTTAATACACAGTTAACAGTCAGCTGATTACAGTGTTCACTTTGAGCGTTTAGATATTACTTATAAATCATCAAGCCTGAACTTCGCAAAAAAACAAATTAAGCACTTATTTCTGTACGGAAACTTATAAAGTGGCCTCACTCGGAAACGCCATTTAAATCATATAAAATCCTAACGAATTTAATGTTAAAACAAAACAAAGTTCACCCTGAAACGTGACCCTACACGTTGTTGTAACTAGCGTCTAATATGTCATTGCTCTCATATAAGGCTTTACTGCACGACACACGATACGAAGAAATAATCGATGTCCAGGTAAAAGCAAACATGTTTAATCATGCAACCATGATACGTTTTCCTAACTAGAATCGATAGCCAATACCGAACGTCGTCAGGGAGTCACGTCAGGCCCTCGGAAGTTTACGACAGTGATGTTCCACCCCTTATATTGAGCAGCTTTTAATCGACAATATGCTCCTGCTTTCGGTGGTATGCCCTACAAATTAACTTGTTTATAATCCGGATGTCCTTTCACAATTTGTTTTTAAAACGCATCGTGGACACAGTTATTCTAATGTAGGTATAATGCGTAATGAACAAAATATATTTTATCCTTCAAGGTAGGTGTTAATGGGTGGTAATTGAGAAAAAAATATATAAAATTACAGAATGCCACGTCAGCGAATATTGTTAAATATTTTTTTTAAATATTAAAATATACCTAATAAAAAACATCAATAGCGGAAAAGCTTGCGCTTCCTTCGATTTCACTTGTAATATTTTTACATCCTTGTGGATATTATATTACTTATTGTAGTATATTAATACGATGCGATAAATGTTAATAATAATCTTAAATGTTTTATGAAAACGTGTCTATAGAATCCTCCGCTTTCTTGGAGAGAGCCTCTGCATTTTGTAAACAAAATAGAAATATAGATACTTAGTTTAAAATTTTATTCGTCTGTCTAGAGTTAAAAACGTTAAAGACGATTATTAACATATTAACTGTGGAACGTCGCTACTCGTGTGTGAAGATCGGACGACTTCAGCCAAGTCTACCAATTCTTGCACACTCGATGGGCTTATGACAAATTCACGTTGCATTGGGCCCACATTGAGCGTGGATTAAGGCCACAGCGTTCCATGCATCGGGAGGGTTCGTGTGGGAAATACGCCTTAAACCCGGCGATTTCGCCGAAGAACGTGATATGCAGGTC